CAGAACTGATTTTAATAGTTTCAGAATCTGTTTCAGTACCTCTCAATACGTCTTCATTTCTTTCAATCCTTTGTAATTATATTTCATTCCCGAATTATGGTGTACATATTCAATGGTAGTTGTTAACTCCTTGGAAAAATACCTGTGGTCCTCTGAGATCTATTCAAATGTTATTATAATATTGTTTCAAATAATTCGCCTGCTAGAACACAGAAATGCATAAACCTCAATCGATTTCTTCCTGAAATGAGAACATCTATCAAAGTTGTCGACATTTTTTATTTGGTCATCAATGACAGTAAATGTTCTCTCAGAAACAGCCGGTATTTATACCTTTTCAACCTCTCATGCAATAAACTAAATCACTTTGGTATAGATAAATTTGCTGTTGATCTTATTGAAAGCTTTTTGAAACACCGAACTCAGTGTATCAGCCTTGATCAATCCAAATCAGCCGGTCTGAATATCAAATGTGGGATTCCACAAGGTTCCATTCTTGGACCTGTTTTCTTCAACATCTATATATCAGATTTCTATGAAAGTCTAAAATTTTGCACTATTCATCACTACGCTGATGACACTCTAATTTATCTATCTTTTCCAGAAGGCAACCTGGAAGCACAAGAACTCATAAATAAAGATCTCAATTCGCTGTACAACAACTCATGCGCACATAACTTGAAATTGAATGCAAAAAAAATCATCATGTATGTTATTTGGACCTAAATCTAATAGGAGACCGACTTCTAACCTCATCAAGATCCACATGACTGACATTGCCTTGCATTTCACTTCTTAAAGTAGAAATTTGGGTTTGTCGATTGATTTGAGATTTTCTGAACACATCAGTCTTCTTTGTGAATCATCTTATAACATTCTCAGACAAATTTTTACCAATAAAAATATTTTTACTACACAACTCAAACTTAAGCTTTGCGGCACTTAAATTTGTTCTAAATTATCATATTGCGATTGCGGTATACGTAAATTTGATCACATCAGTACTTAGTAGGTTTGATGACATATATAAATTACTTTCAACAAAACAACCTGCCTATTTATATAATAGACTTTTCAACTTTTCCCAGACTAACAACTATTATACTCGAAACTCTACACGATAATGTCATTCAAAAAAATGCTTTAAACTTCTTAAATCCTAGTAATTGGGACTCTGTGTGTCGATTTTTGATAAGCTCATTTGATTACTCATTTGATTTAAAAGCTTGTTTTATTGTGTTGATCAATTTATCTTCTATTCTACACTTGTTTTCAATATAATATTTTTCAGTGTATATTTCTGTAAGGTTGATTTGAAAAACAGCTTACGCTGATAAACTGCCTTTTCATCTAATTTACTTTCATCACTTGTAAGTACCCATATTTCTATGTTTTTTAGATTTATAAAGTCGATTAAATATTATTATTATTATCGAATGATCATCGCATATTCAGCCCCCACGTTAACGAAAACCTGCTCCTGGTGATGGAATTCCAGGTTTGTATGTAGGTTTTTTGTAATCCTAACATGATTACAGTGAATGTTTTGGATAACATTTTTGGGAAAGACTGGTTTCATCGGAAAATAGAATTTCCCTGTCAAAAAATGCATTTTCATTCACTTTTTGGAAAAACTATTGGCATAAGTTCATTCTCAAATATGATAGAAAATCATCGAGAACTTTACAAACAAGAATACGTATATGGACAAACAATTGAATCCAGTACAGTAAGTTGTTATCTTTCAAAATTTCTAATTGAAAAGTACTTCCCATAGAACCAACAGGCTCTCAGTATATCATCAGCAAACCTGAACCTGTATTGCATATCTGCAGATCAAGCATTTTGAATAATTCTCTCCAATTAATTGGCCGAAATACCTGACAAACTAGACTAGGTAGACAAATGTCAAATCTGTTTAGATTCACTGAATAAAATCTGCTTCTTACCAGAAATATGTTTAACTTCAGTGATACAAATGATTAGATTGGATTTTTTTCTGAGAAAACGATAAAACTCAAGAGACCAGATTGAATCTTTAGGCCCGAAAATTCAGTAGTTTTTTTTCTAACGACTTTCCTGTATAAGTAATGATCGTGGATATGATAATACTAATTACTAATTATTGGTTATTACTAATTTATGATTCAAATGGTTGAAATTTCAAATAATTACTTTTGAATTGCCATCTATTAAATCTTGTAGTAGCATAATGTTGTTGCAAATTAGGTAAATACGGCCCTATTCACTTACAAAATAATAATTATTGTAATTTTGAATAAGAGCAAAAGAAGGGGGAATGTTGAAAGATGTTCTATATGCTTTCAACTGATTATATGAATTGTATCGATTGCGCTGAAAAAAATTATTTATAGCAATGCATTGAAACTGACGAATAGATCTAGTAAAATGATTGTGTTGAATTCGTCATTGAAGTATAAATATACAAGAACATTCGAGTTGTGCTGTTGTGGTAACGAATGTTTATAACTAGTCACCATTCAAAGTATCAATGATTATAAAATCTTAATGAAAAAATTATCTTCGAATGCTGAACAGGATCGAAAAAAAATCACCCATTCCTGAGAAAATTTTCACTATGCAAACGTAATATTGTTGATCGATACGTGAGTTCAATCACAATAGTTTGGAAGATTTCCAAGTAATCATCCTGCGAATGTAATTTCTTAGCAGAACTCATTTCTTGAAGCGAAATTCACTTTGGAAACTTTTTGTTTGCTTGATCTTTTGAATGTTTCGAACTTTGTTACTGAATTTTCAGGTGAAGTCATTTATCATAATGGAATAGAACTGTTGGAATATTCTGTAATGTCGAAATGCTTCATGAAACTTAATTTATACTTTCTGATATATTTTCATGTTTCCAGCTCATCAGTGTCTGATTTTTTCACTTGAATAAATCCACTAATAATAATTTTTATCGTGCTGGAAATTATGAAAACTATTTTATTTACTTTGTTTATTCTCGTAACAACGGAAAATAAAACAAATTTAATAATATAACATATAGACCCAATAAAACGACAATATCCAGATCCTGATAAAACAACTTCCTATCTTTTACGATTTCTCGGCAATCAAGATATCTGACAGATTTTATGTTTATAATACACAAGAAGGAAACAATCCTACTGATTCCTTTCTGTTTTCTCCTCTTTCGATATTTTACTTACAATGGTTCACACACGGTATAATAAATATCAGGCCCGCTTCTATAACTTTTTGGTTTCTTGTCGTGCCAGTTCAAATGGTTCAAATGGTCTAACAAGAAGTACTGAAAAATGTTTGAATATACTGGGTATTCCATTTGAAAATCCAATGTTGCGGTGATTTCCTGTGAAACTAAAAGTGCTGCTGATTTTTTTTCTGATCCAATCAACTGGGAAGAATATGACAATAAGTATGTCAAACCGACTTAACAAGCAAATGAAACTCGTTTCAAAAAACAGAAAGTACATATTCGATTTCAGAATAGAACAGAATAGAATATTTATTAACCATTTCAGGTACAGGTAGTACATATGGCAAATCATAATATAGTTTTAAATAATCCATGAAAGTCCTACGAGTAGCTAGGGAAAGAAGGTCAATCACGGCAGAGCCCCGCATTACCGTGACAAGGCGATGCTACGACGAGAGGGCGCCCGGTATCTAGAAGGTTCCGTAGAGACAGCTGATAGGCTCAGTGTCATTCATCCTCTCGGCACGGGGACACCCACCTTAGGATTGAGCCATCGTTGGGATGTCATTCAGTTTGGGAATAACTGAACCACAAGTGCTACGTGGAAGCAGACATCCGATGGCCGGTTGGCTCAACCCCCACATCCCAAGCCAATGCACTCGCCAAAAACAGCATGCACAGTGGTTCAGGCAGTGAAAGATGAACAAGGACAGACAACCCGCCTTTATATGAATCGCTTTGTTGAAAATTTGTATGATAGATATATATATAAACTAATTTTAAAGTTAGGATTCACTATTGCATCTCCTGAAGATGCCAAATTGGTTACTGAAACCCACTTCCAGTAGAGGTCTGGAGTTCAGGAGCACTATTCTGTACAAAAATGCCATAGTTAACCAAAATAGTCGATGGGCAATATTTTTCCGTTTTGACATTCAAAATGACAGAAGAAGAAGGGCATCACTTGCTTCATATGACTCGGTTTTGCAGTTTTGAGTATAAAACAGAAACAGAGCTGTCAAAAAGTGGCTGCACTTCCCTATGACATCGAGGGTACCTATTAATACAGCTTCTTTCCATATTCAAAATATTTGCAACCTTCTCTTTGAAACACGTACTTGGGTTTTTTACATTGGGAATGAGTTTCTAGAAGACATTTGAGTTTTTTGAGTTCCAAAAGACAGTTGTGTGTCAAAGACTTTTTCTCTTTCAGAGTTTGTTTTTTCTGGCTTCAGGCAGAAGCCAATCGAACCTGAGATGAAAAACTCATATAATTCTTCTTCATACTTCTTTCAGTGCCTATCGTCCAAAAAGTAAGACCCCGGTAATCCTCAGCTCGCACAAGTTTCGACTATTGAGGATTGTCGTTCATAAAGAAGCAAAAGCTGGTTGAAGGAAAAACCGATTTTGAAGAAACTTTTAAATATTCGCTACTTGTACGTACCTCATTCAAAAATAGAAACAACTGAGTAATCTATTTTCTCAGTGTCATCTATTTTCCTAGTGTTATCTATGGTATTCCAATATCTCGAATACAACAAACATTTGCTTCGTTATTGCTCCCCAGTTGTTATTTTCAATGGTTAATCACGGCTTGATAAAGGTATATCGCCCAACACTAACAGCTCATTAAATATTTACTTTCGTTCATATGTTCTATTTCTATTCATTGTTTTTAAAAAATGTATTGATAACAATGTTATCACCATCATGTGTTTGCGTTGGAACCTGTATCACTGAATAAATAATAATATATTATTTTTGCACCATTTTCTAATTTCCAGTTATTGTTACTGATCGAGTTAACGTGTGCGATTTTCTTGTTTTCATAATGTGAGTTTGTGCAATGCACGATTCGGTTTTGCTGGTCGATAGTAACAAACTCAATGGGAAAAACATCTGTATATATACCAAAATATGGACTTTATTATTCGAATATTAGCAAAATGTGAAAATATAGCAAAATCACAAAGTGAGAAATTTCGGCTCCAAGATTACATGATTTAGCCTGAGTTTTATTCTAAATTCCATCACAAAGGAATTGAGTAGAATATTGGGAGAGATCTGATACAGGTGTATTTGTTTTCTTGATTTTCATCATCAGTATCCCAAATATTTCAAGTGACTCTGATTTTTCCTTCTCTGACATGAGGTTGCAATCTACCTCAATTATTTTATACTATTTTGTTGGGTTCATAACGTTCCAGAATCTGGAAAAAAAAATGTAAAAAAATGGAAGCTGAATCGATAGAGAAAGTCCAATTAGTCAGTAACTTGTTTCCATTAACTTTGCTTACAGATTGAAAAAAAATTATTATTGATATTTGGCTTTCTTAGGTGGTAAACGTTTCGGAAGACAATCCTTTTCCGATTTCGAAACCTGTATTCACTATAAAAATCTCGCCTCAAACTGCAATGATCTTAATTTTTTTCACACAAGTCAAGAGAATGGAATGTATAAAATATTGAATCCTCCACATAAAACTGTCGTTTAAAGAACCACCAAATTTCTCTTCATTTTGATTTCTGATAACGATAAAAAGTTTCAAGATAACCTAATATTCGTATTATGTTCGCAGTTAGAAAAAAAAAATTCAGTTAGTCTTCTTTCTAATAAATTGTAATTGGTTAATGATTCCCATTTTTCAACAACGAAATCAGTTTTGATAATTCGATCCAAAAAATTATGGCAAACTCGTTTTTGCATGAGGTATCAGAAATATAAAGAGCTATTGAGTATAACATTCGATTTGAAAATATATAGAGTTGCTTTACGAGAATAAAATGGAATTTTATGCTGCTAATATGTTAATTTATATTACGCTGTAGACTTGGCGCATTCGCCATATCTTTAAAAATTATGGTCTGTGATGAAATCTGTGAAAGAACAAATAAAAACAAAAGAAAGAATGGAATGTTAAAATAATAGAAAATACCAAAAATACGGAAACTAAATATTCGGGTTATTTGTTTAAAACAAAAAAAATTATCAAAAATGATTAAGCAATGAGTATGAAAATGCATAACACTAATTTGTAAAGCAAACAAATCATTGTGACCAAAAATGAAAATTATTTGATAAATGGGTTAACGATTAGCGAATAGTCAAATTTTTCACAAACAATAAAAATTTAATGAAGACAAAATCAAATAAGTAAAATAAATGAAAAATAAGAAAAAACAAGTGAAAGTAAAAAAATAAAGGAAAAAGAATGAATTTTAAACCAAGTTACTTCACGACGTTTCGATTGTCACTATTCACAATGTCTTCTTCAGTTGATATCGGAGTATAAAAATTCAACAAACGTCAAAAGGCCAATGTTAGTGACTTGAAATCAAAATGAATTGATAAATGGGTACCTAAATAATAAGTGGAATGTCACCTCACTCATTCTGATCTTTCTTATCCAGATAACTTAGCAGAAAAAATAATTTGAATCGTTTTAGCGAATTTTATAGTATATTTACAAATGTTTTGCTGAACATTTAACAGGTTCATCGTGAATTTTGATAACCTTATCAATATGATCACCTCAGAGCAAATTGATTTTAAAAAATGAATTATGTTCAACATATTCTTTAACTTACCTACTAATCAATCATGAATCAGTCTGTTCTCTAATCAGTCTGTTCTTTAATCAGTCTAATTGATTCAATTTCATTTCAAATATTTGAAGTACCTACAAACTGAACGTGAGAAACAATTTTTCATGTACTTAATTTAATGTTTATGAAGGAAGTAGTTATTTGGGATGTATTTCTGTTCATATCATAGAGATATTTTGTCATTCATTATTTTTATATGTTGACGAATCAGTAGGTAGCCAAAAGTTTCATTTTACCTAAACTAACCTTTTTTTTTTTTGCAGTAACAGTTCGAGGTCTATGGACAGACCCACAGACTACGAGGATCCACCTCCTGGCGGTCTCGAGAATATGTGGGGTATGGAGACAGGGGCGGACTGCGATTGTCCTGGGCCGCCCCCTAAGTTCATGCTACCGCCCCCTCCTCGGCCGCCCATTCTCCAACCTGAAGACCCCATGTACTGCACTGAGGATCCCTTGCCCATCGAAACTTGTGATGCCCTACCGGTAAGCTCATCGACAATGACTATTTGTTTCATTTCTCAAGAAAGCATTGAAATATATACAGTGAGTCGCACTTTTATGTCAACCATCCCGTGTTTTAGTTTTCGAAAATAAGATTTCAGACATTTTTGAACCGTTGCGTTGGTGTAGGGAGTTGAGACTGGCCTGACCGAATAACCAGTATTCAAGTATGCGCACTAACTATATGTGAAAAGTTTTTTTTCTTATACGCGAAATTGGGCAAATTTCGGATATGCGGTTGGTTATCTCGTTCACAGGCATATGGGGCGATGACAAATATGTTGTTTGTTATCCGCTTCAACCTAGTTCGAGGAATGATACTGTGAAGGAATTGAATTTTCAATAATCGGAAATCATCGACTTCATGTTGATGTGGCCACCCAGATTTCCAGACCTCACAGTTTTGGACTTTTTCTCTGGGGACTTCTCACACAAAAGGTTTACAAAAACCGCTCAAGAGATAGAAATGAACTTTGTGCAAGAACTCGACAGGTATGTGCAGATATTAGCCCTCAAGAACTAAGGAACGTAATCAGAAACGACACATGTATCGAAATACGTGATAGATTAGTAGAGGCTACTAAGGCGTAAATATTATTCATTTCTTTTTTTATTCAAGGTCATAAACAATATCATCATCTGCTCTCAACTATTACATATGTTGAATTTTTGGGTTCCTAGACGGTCATCTAGGAATAGTGTCACATTTTATCTCAACACTCCGCGTACAAATATAATGAAAAAATTCCCAATTTATACAATGTGCGATACCTCTTATTCTGTTAGTTATGTCCTAGATATATTCAACTTTCAGATTATACAAATCAAAAGACATTTTTTAGCTAACTGCTAAAAAATATAAATTCACAAATTGTGTAAGTACATATTTGTAAATGTCACTGTTACTCCCTATTCTGTAATTGGGTTCATCCTGTAGAATAGTGTATGAAATGAATAAATGTGTCTGTGAAGAATCATGTGTAATATTTTTCCGTATTGCTATGTTATTTTGAAACATACGCAAATGTATCTGTAACTGACAGTGCATGACATGTCAAATGTACCAATAGTTGATACACTAGAGATCAGTAAGTACCTCAAAATGACACTTGATAATTCAGGGGAATAAAACATTGTATTTTTTGTCTTTCATTCAATTCATCATTCATACTTTATGAATTTTACTTACAAACATGTTACAGACACGAATGAATAAAGTTTTTGGAGCAGTGCTAGAACGAATGAAATTTACTTTTGTTCAAAATAAAACTGGAGCGTGAAATTCTGTAACGCAAATCCTTGATTTATATTCAATTATGAAACGTTGTTTCATTATTGTCTACCGTAAAACTTGATACTTTCATAATTGCCGCGAGGCTGAAGCTACTTTCAATGGCTTCAACGTTTCGGGAAATAAAAACTCAGTTTCTCCACAGCAAAGTTTACCGGAGTTGTATAACTCCCGGATCTTATAAATATCTGGAAAGAGAGAAATTTAAATGATACTCCACAACTTCAGTTGTGCTCGAGAGAAACAAAACGGTTTTATTAACTTCAGTTTGAACTATAAAATTTGATCGTAAACCTGGAATAGCTCCAAAAGTGCTGATGTTTCATACAAACACGAATCGATTTGGACAGTTTGCTGCATCGAACCACGAAAATTATAATGTGAACTGCAATTGTGCAACATTCGTAAAATTGTTCGGAACAAAAGTCAATAATATAAACTTTGATGGTTCTGTATGCATAAAGTGCCTGCTACATCATACATGCAATTATTACTATTATTAGTCAAATCTTTGGTTATATGGATATCTTTTCTACAAAAATAGTTTTCTCTGAACATCATCCACACTTTTCTCATTCCAGGATGACCATTATCTTCATGTAAATATTTTAATATATCAAAAGCTAATTGATTATTCAACGAAAGTCATTTTTTGTGGAGGAAAAAATCAGTTTTTTATCGACCTTTTTTTGGGTAATGGTTACCTTCCACAATCTGAAAAAATATAAAAATTATAATGGAGAACTTTATACAAGTGTAGAAGGGCAAACTTTTTAGTTTACCCCGATAAGTTACTGCGTAAAAATCAAAGTATTTTTCACAAAGAAAAATCTTCTATTTATCAGTAACTTGTCGTATTTAACAATTTTGCCTATCAAAAAAATTATTAAGAAATTATACTTATCTTTTACGTTTCGGAGGCCAAAATCTGCCTCCGTCTTCAGAAATGGATAAAAATTCGAATATATACGCAGTTATTCCTTTTTTGAGAGCTTATTTCTTTACTTCTTCGACAGATGTCAAAGAAGTTTTGAAATATGAAATTATGTCAATGTTGTTGATTGACAACTGAAATATTCGATGTAATACAAGGTACTCTCCGATATCAGTTTGTTGCCATTTTGCCACTATCCATCTTGAAGAAAACTTTGGATAGGTCGATAAAAACTAATTTATTACTAATAACATATAGTTCCTGATCCTTAATTGTCTTTAACGAAATACCATTGACTTTTCTACATTTCATTATATCTTTTGCTTCTTATTTATTCTGATCTTTTCTATACTTTTGTTAAATGAGAAGATTCCCTGTTGGTCTATTAATATATTTACCCCAATTTGTAATGATCTTTCACCTTGCCAATTATGTTCTTGTAAATGTAATCCATTTATATGTTTACTATTATTTTGTTCTTGTGATGTACTGTTTGGAACCTTTGGTGATCACCAAGTGATCATCTTCAAGAGGAAGATAAAACAGTTTTATCTTCCTCTTGAAGATGATCACTTGGTGATCGAAACACATGTCGAGGTGTAAAAATAACGATTTGTTGGTGGGAAAAATCTCCAGTAATATTCATTATTTTGTAATTTCAAATGTTTGTTATAGTTAATTTTACTATTAGCATGATATTCTGAATGTTAGTTTACATTAGATGATTTATTCTACTGAGAATTTGTCATTTCAACATCATTACTAGTAGTTTTACCTCATTCTTAGCGTGTGTCCGTTGTATATTATTCAGCTGTCTGATTTCTTCCACACTTCTACTTCTCCTATGTATGTAAATATCATTTCTTTCATCTCCGTAAGCACTATAATCTCTGTCATTGTTCCTATCTGCACTTCTACCTCTTCGTCTGTATGTATTATTATCAAACATGGCGTCATGAAAAAATTGTGAGTAGTCACCAAATCATAATTGCAACCAACAATTCGAAGTGATCTAAATATCCATCCCGAATGCCTGGAACAAAATGCATTTGAAAAACGTGGAATTGAAACCGAATAATATCAACTACTGGATGTTCCACAAGACAGCCTTGGCACGATTCGAATCTTCAGCATGATACATACATCTTAAGAATATTTCTTACTTTTTCAACTGTCCTATTTTTCGGAAACCCTTCATACATCAATCTAATTTCAGTGCAGGCGTGCCTGTCACTTAATCTAGTTGATGAATCGACCCAAATAAACGAATTCACTTAGCACTTGTATTAATTAGCTCAATGAAGCCTTAATTACGGTTATGAATTGATACTGCATCACAAAAGGAAATATCAGAGCATTCATTTTTGCGCAAATGTTACTTTTTTCTATTAATGAATACTGTATCAGTAGCAGCATCTTTTTTCACTCTCTGTGATGTCAATCTTCCCCAGGCTTTTGATCTGTTTGACCATCTGAAGGCTCTATATTTGATAAAATATTATTAATAACGATAAGAGCATCTTCACTCAAATGTTACAAATTGTTCAGTTGTAGTTGTCTTTTTTATGGAAACGGTCTGTCTTTATAACAAATCTTCCAACAAGGACTTCGTCTGTCAAATCAGTTGTCATTTATTCAGTCTGTTCTGCCAAATCACCATGGACGGATATAGTAGTCAACAATACGTGCAAATAATAAAATTGTTCGGGCAACGTACCGCGCGCTCTGCCCATTTCAAAGAGAGGACCATTCACAATGAGGTGGATGATAACACGAAATATGCCGAAAACATCGCCGCTGTCTCTCCCCCCCCTTCCCACCATGCCCCCTTCCAGGTTGAGTACCCTGAGATAAAATCTTCCCCACACAGTTACTGTGTGCAGAACATCCCCTCTCGTCCATCCACTCCCACTCTTATAAGTGGACCTCAACCTACTGATAGGCTCTTCTGCAAGATTACCATCTGACCTTCTGCAGTCGAAAGCCAGCCGTTAGGTGCTTCTACTTTCTAATCTGATATTTTATTGAATCGTGACTGTACTTGAATGTAATTATTGCACGGGGCCCCCAAAAACAAACCGTTGACGAGTGTCTTTAGATCGCGAACAAGTGTTTCTCAGTGAATCTGCAAAAGAATTCTGGTTAGAAAGGTATTATATTTACCGGAGCCGTCTGATAGCGACTCTTGAGGGTGATCTCTGATTCTGCTTGGTTGGCCTTCCTGGCAGCCGATTTCGTTCAGCTCACAAGAACTGGATTTTTCGCATACCACAACTTCGTGAATTTTGCGACGTAACTTGGGCCTGTACCCGTACTATATTCAGCTGTTTTTCCAAGTCTGGCATACTCACCAGTTATCCTGATTTCTGGTGATGAGGACTATCTTAGCACCCAGAATCAATATATTTCCCACTAAAAAGTTTTCTGGTGATATAAACTTGGTTTTCAAAAAAAGTATCAAAGATCGACTGGATTATTTGTATGGATAACTGGATTTTGAAGCCACAGACTTCCGGATTTTGAAAATATCTGAGAATTTTTGTGGAGCATCTGTCAAAATATTTTTAGTTAAAGTTGAATGACCCTATATTTCTTTCAAGTCTCCAGAACACAATCAATCTTCATTGCTCTTGACATTTTGTTTCCATTTTTTGATCCCATTTTAACAATCTCGTTCACGGAACTAGTTTGTGCGGGTTGTTTACTGCATATTTGTCATATTTTGGACAGAATTTCGCTTATCCATAAGTTTGCATC